CTCAGCACCTTTCCTTTACACATCGTAAACATGCTGATTTCACAGGAGCCTTCCTCCTCCCCGCAGAAAATTACTGACTGGGGTGGAGTTTACATCTTCCAGCTTGGCGACACGTATGAAGTTAATTACTATCAGTCCATACTTATATATAGTCAAAGGCGCTATGGCGCTGAAATATCACTTGGCTTATCACGGACGTACACGAACGCTGCACGCATGTCTCATTGTAGATGTCACTTTATGGTGAAAATTTTGAAAATAGAGAATGAGAACTTTATATAACTTCGTAACTTATTTCGCTTTTTATTATGCCCGTTATTTTTCATACATGTTTTACATGAATTGTACTCACCGATTTGTCCAATGGGAATACCTTAAATTAGCAGTTAAAGATTCGAAAGATACACCCATAGCAATAAGTTATTTGATTTTTAACGGGAATCATGTATTCTGATTTTATTTTTGAAGTCTAAAAATGTTGATGTTTACACACGGCGGGAAAGTTAAAACTGTGAAGATTAGGTGCGCTACGTTCAAATATATTCCAAACTTTACAATGGTAACCCGTTTTAATGTACGAATCCTCAAGGTCGCGTGACCTATTTGACTATGATATTTCATTGAACGTCAGAATTAATTTTTATCAAGGAAAACAAGTCTAATGCTCATAAATAGTCAGTTTATCAATTTTTATCAAGGAAAAAACAAGTCTCATAAATAGCTAATTATCGTTTGATATTGATTGACTAATCAATCATGGTTCAAAAATCATGGACTGTTTAGATCAAATAAATAAATTTCTATATTACTGTTATCGGATATCCCATTTTCTTGTTTATTATTATTGTAAATGTGTAACAAGTAGATATACATAAACAATAAATAATTTATTGAGTAATGTTTTATTGTTAACATAGATTGAATAATTTTTTAAATTTAAATCGATTAAAGGATTCCCAGAAATGGTCCATAATGAGATATCGTAGGCTAATGGGAATCAGTGCGATAATTGTTGCGCAAAGTTTTATAATTGTTACAATGTCCCACCACACTTGCAAAAAAATGTCAGCTCACACACAGCTCTCAGCCAGGAATTGAATTAATTTTTTACATAGCAGCTTGGATTAAAATTGTTATAATAAACTCTTTGTTGTTTAATATAGAGTGATACAGAGTAAAAAATAAAATTAAGAAAAACAAATTATATGTACAGTTGAAATTTTAATTTAAACAAAAGAGGATTTTTAAAAAGACTATTTTTGATCTAGATTTCCAACCGAACTAAATTATTGAATATTTGTGGGTTCTTCTAGAAATAGAGAAATTTAAATAACAATTATTTATCCTCGATTTCGGGGAAAACGATAAAAATCAGGATTTTGTATTGATTGCTGAAATAGTCATATGCAGAGTGCTTTTTACGCATTGTATCCTTCAAAATAAAATTAATTGCACGTTTATGCGTTGAAAGATGATTAGTAAATTATGAGAATGTGATTTCTTGTTTAACATAATATACAGGATCTGGAATGTCACGGATCCTTTAAATATCTAAAATTCATAAATAATATGACTTCTAGTTGAAAAAAAGCCATTTAAAAGTTAAAGGTTTATATATGTTTGAAACTTAATGAATAATGCAAAGGATACAAGTGCAAATTAAAAACGAATGCAGATGTTTTAATGAAATTCAGTATTATTTCGGAATATATTAAATGTTACGTCCACGGTGCGGATCGAAGGTATTGCACTCGCAGTGTGTACTCGATAGTCTCGCATACTCCCGCACTCGCGAAATGAACACTCATCAGAGATATCATTGAAATGAGAACTTTATTAACTGAAATACAAGAGATGTTTTCTTGCGCTGTCAGTTCGTAGCGACACATGATAAACAAAACGTTGCTAGACAAACGATCCTCCACTGCTCGTTTTTACGATCGAACGATTAACGCGGTCTAGGTCACTCTTCTTACACAAGGGAATAATAGTATATTTAATGAGTTTTAACATACTCAATTCTTTACATGCGTGAGTGTTATAAATTATAACGGAACAAATTATACATTTTAATTAATCCTGAGTGCATATAGTAACGTTTTTACTAATGAAAAAGAAAATTATTATTTTAGAATTTTCAATCAATGCATATATTAATAATTAATTAGCATCAAATAAGAATTGGGAAAAAACATTTGTTTATAATAATTATATACAAGGTTTCACAATAAAATTAATAATATTGAAAGTTACTGTACATCTATATTTCGAAGTATATTTATAAGTACTTATAAGTACTTCGAAATATTATAAGTACTTTAGTAGTATATGTATATTAGTGGGATTTATTTGACATACTGCCAATTTTAGAAAAAAAACTCGTAGAAACATTGTTACCATGATAAGCAATAATACTTTTTGGTGATATTAACTGAAAAAGGATTTGTAGCATTTTCTGACTAATAAGTTAACATTAATTTTTCTATCAAGAGAGGGAAGGAGAGAGAGAAAGAGAAAAGGCAAATGAGAAATAAGAAGGGGAAAAGAAGGGAAGGGAGAGAAAGAGAGAGAGAGAGAGAGAGAGAGAGAAAGAGAGAGATGAATTTTATTTAATAATTTATCTGGAACTTCTTCCAGCACAATAATATTCGGCAACACCTTGGGTGACTCGAGGACATTCTGGAAATAAAAATATAGAAAACAATAAAATTATTAATAATAACAATAACAGAAATATAAGTAACTATTTCTTGTAAACTACTTTTATATATTAATAATATGGATAGAAGGGCAAGTAAGAGAGACGATATAGAAGTGAAGAAAGGAATGAGGAAGGAAAAATGGAGTAGGAGGGAATATGACAGAAAGAGGAGATATTTCACGTAATACATACATATTAAGAAATAAAAATCATGCAGCTTTAAAAATCAAGCTTTTAAAAACTTAAGGTAATCTTAAATTATTTATGTACTATATTGTATAAACAAAATATAAACACAATTATATAAATAATAAATAGTTAATTATACAATACAAAATATTTTTAAATTTTTATCTAAAAAAAGTCAATTGTAGTTGAAATATAAATAAAGTTCTTACTATAAATGTTTTATAAACATATATTAGTATACATATAATTTATAAAATTTTATTTCTTTTTTTAATATAAATTTTTTAATCGAGAATTGTTTTTGTGTAATAATCAAAAGTAATCTTACCGTTTTTATAGCAAGCAAATCATTAGCGCCGTAAAATAAAGCTAAGGGTGCAGTAACTTTTTTAAGGTCATACGTTATCGGTGTTATTTGTCCATATTGTTTATAATTACCAAAATGTCCTTAATGATAGGCTTGCAATTTTCCTGCAGCAATCAATATTTATGTACATAAATACAAAATTAAAATAAAAAAATATTTACATTAAAAAATTTTTATTTTTATTTTGAGAAACGTAAAGTATTTATTATTCTTAAAGAATTTCTATTGCGACAGTTATATCATTAATAAAAGTAATAAAAAAGAAATAAAAATAAAAATTTATAATATTAATAAATAACATTTAACGAACATTTTTTTATTTATGACATAATAATTTATAATAATCTAGAGAAATAGGCTCACGAGAATATATCAAACATATTAAAGTAGAGACCGTATGCAAACCAACACGGATGTTAATGTATAATTTAAAAAATAAAAAAGAAAGAAAAAATTATTACGCACCAACATCCGTGTTGGTTCGATACGGTCTCTACTTTAATATGTTTGATAATAATTTATATTTTTTATACATCAGAGGAAAAAAATACTCACCTGCATCAAAATTTTGCCAAAGATTTAATATTGTATATACGGAAGTTTCGCCTGGAATTTGTGAAAATATTTCCGGTAATGCTGTCTGCAATGAATGGCTTATTAAAAACAATTTCGATTTGTTGTACATCAAAACACAAAATATAAAGGACCCCGCACGATTCTTATGAAAAATAAACACGGTAAAATTTCTCTGTTTTGAGATATGTTGAAATTGAGATTTCTGAAATTCTGAACAAAACTTTATTGCCACATTCATCTAAAATCAACAGATGAAGAGATATACAGCTCAAAAATAATAGAATATTAACTGCAAAATTTCAAAAACTACAATATGTAAAAACGGAGCAATTTGACTGGGATTATTTTTCTATGAAAATAGTGCGAAATTCTTTACAAAAATATTATTTTGTTTTTATTTTTAAATTAAATAAATGATATGAAAAAGGTGGCAGTGTTACAATTAGCAAAATTGTACTAAATTAAATATGTACGACATACAGTGTTAAATTGTTATGGATTAGATCCGCAGATAAAAAAAAATACTGCAATGCAAACAAATTGAGTAATTGTATTATATTATCTGCACATAGTGTTCTACCAAGTATAATGGTCGTCGATGATAAGGAATCTACTTCATATATTTCATTGAAATCAAGAAATTCCTAATAAAAGATAGAATAAACACACTCCAATATAATAAATGAATTCCTAATAAACAAACGGGAATACAAAAATGTATGTAAAACAATTATAATATAATCTGTACAAGATGTAATAATGTAAAAAATATAACATCAGAATAATTATATTTATGGGTTATTCTATACGAAAACGCAAATGCAGGCTCTGCCCATAAATGATTTGATCCTTT